GGGGAGATATTCCCAATGCAAGGCTACAAAAGGCTGTTAGAATGGTGTGGCATGGGCACAGATTTGCCCTGATAGAAGCCGATCTCCATAATTCAAAGTACCGATCCACCCCTTGCATCATATCGGGGTATATTGACATTTTAAACCTTAGTTTTGATTTTTGACCCAAAGTAATTTATATATTTCAGGTGACAAACCAAATATTGCGATTTCTTACCGATTTTATATAACTACCACTTCTTTAGACAAATAGAATACAAAATAAAAAAATAAGATGTTACTATATCAACTAAAGTTTATCGTAAATGTTGGAATCTTTATTATAATTAAATGATGAACATATTTGTCATGCTTGTAGTTCAACTAGATGTATTAAGTATAACGTCAAACTTATTATTCATTATATTGGAGGGTTTTTATACTCTATTCTTTTATGGGCAAGGCAGGCATTAGACCTATTCACAGGCTGGGTTTTGGGTCTAACTTTTCATTATGTCAAGCTCGGGTTTTAGATTGTTCTCATTTAAATTTTGACAAAAGTCAATTCTAAACCCGACCTATGAACAGGTCTAGCAAGTACGTACTTTTCTTTCAAAAAAAAGGCAGGCACATAATTACTGTTATGATTATTTAACATCCTGTCTTGTAATGATTTACTTTGACTATGATGTCTTTGATTTTGAAACACAAATAATGACCATGCACACACAAAAAAAAAAAAATCACAAGGATAACCCTTTTTAATCTATAATACTTTTGCAATTATGCAAAGTAAATACGTACTTACTAGCAAGGTTCTAAATATCAATACACCCGATACGCTGGTAGGGGCGTATCGGGCAATATCGATAGTGTTGTTTTTATTTTTTTTTTCAAAACTGGTTCAAGGGGGGCGGTTTAAGGTTCCCCCACCCCCAGAACCAGTCAGAACCCCGATACGCCCTCTGTAGGGATGTATAGGAGAGCTCCAGAAACTATACGTATCAATCGATACATATTGATACTTTAAACCTTGCTTGCTAGTACATATATAGACATATATTTGCTTGTTGATCATGCGATTCATGCCCTTTCACGAAACTTTTCATGTCTAAAAGTGGACGATAGCAAGAAAACCTCCACCCTTTAGCACCAAGTCAAACTTGGTTTACTCCATTATTAGTCTCATTTTCAACTCTAACATAGTGATGTCAAGTTTAGGAGTGCAAGTTGAGTAGGCCAAATCCAAGCCTATACCAACTCAGCTCATAGTTCTATATGGGTTGGGCTTGGATTTTCATCCTTGACAACTCCTCAAGTACAACCTAAACATGTCAAGCTTTAGTGTTTTTTTTTTTACGTAACACAACTAGTAAGGGTGTAAATGGACTAGTTTTGGATTGGATTGGACTAATCTAAACTTAATGGTCAAAATATTTATTAGATTGGATTGGACCTGGTCCAACCATAATGAATTTATATTGGATTGGGTTGAGCCAATTTCTGATCCATTGGTATAGATAAAAATATAGGTGTCAATGGATCAGATTTGGGTTGAAACCAATATAAATTAAAATGAATTTGAACAGATTAGACGGTTCAGATATTGAATTGGACCAATCCAAAGTGGTCCAACATATTTATTGGATTGGATTGGACCTGATCCATTTATAATGGATACATATTGAACTGGATCGGGTTGGATCCAGTCCAATTGACACCCCTGCCACTCTGCCAGCAAACATGCCAACCGAGCCACCACTCTGACTCAATTCAGTTGTCAAGCTTTAGTTTGGGCTGGGTCTAGATTGCAAAGATCCAATTCAACCTTATGACTTAAGCCCAATTCTCAGGTTGAGCTTGTGTTGATGACCTTTAACCCGGGGGTCCTTGTCAGATAGAGATGTATATAACCATTTCCAAGCCAGATCCTATATAGGGGCCTGTGATTGGGACGGATTATTGGAATTGTAATTTGATAATAAAACCCATTTATTTATTAAATTGACACATTGGTACATCACAATACAATATTTTATGAGAATAGATATGTTAAATTAGACCATGGACAGGATATCTTACCTATGTTGCTATTGCAAACAGAGGTAGATATGAAAGAGATTCGACCTGGAAACGAGGAAGTATTTTCTTTTGTTTGCATGCGATCAATGTTTTAAAAAACGACATGGAAATAGAATCGTTCTGACCATCGGTTTCTGGGTTGATGGTCTGGTCGTCCGGTTTGAATGGGTGGTCCGTTCTGATAAATAAATTAAAAAAATAAAAAACGGTCAAAATCCTTGAACAGTTCGACGGTTCGACCACGTAGATCAATGGATTATTAACTTTTTTAGTGGTTTTTTGGCCAAATATCGAGTTTGGGGTAAAACAAAACCGATTGCCTAGACGGTTTCTGGGCCGAACAGTCTGACTGTCCGGGTCAACCACGGTTCAAAACACCAGTGATTGAAATCATTAGTGTAACACTCCATCTATACGCATTCCTATTTTAGTTTTGATACATGTCTATATTTGTTGTTTGCTAAGAGGATATGAGGTTACTGGATGTCTGTAGAGGAGCAAGTGGCAATTTTCTTGTACACTATTGGACATAACATCCGAAATAGTGTTATCCATGTGCACTTTGGAGTTTGGACATTCTCAAGAGACCATAAGTCATTATTTTCATAGAGTTTTGCGTGCTGTCCTTGAGACCAAATCAGCCCCCACAACGTTCCACAGTACATCCCTGCCGTGTATTAGAAACATCTCTCGGTGATGTTTTTAGGATTATCATCGGGAGATGTTCCCAATATAAGGCGGGGATGTGCTGTGGGACGTTGTGGGGGGCAATTTTGTGAGGGGCTGATTTGAACTCGCTGTCCTGAGGTTATATAGTCCTTCAGCTATCTAGGGAGCATATACCCCCTTAAATTAGTAATGGCCCTCATTTCATGCCATACTTCAAAGTATATGTTCCAATTCTCCAATCAAATCTCATTACATAAAAAAGTAACCAAATTTAGTGAAACTGTAGGATTGTGTAGGTGTTGTTGATGGGACTCATATCCCATGCAAGGTACCAATTGAAGAGCGAGAAAGGTTTCAGGGGAAAAAGGGGGAAATGACTCAAAATGTGATGGCCGCAGTTACATTTGATTTAAAATTTACATATGTACTGGCTGGGTGGGAGGGGTTAGCTATTGATGCGATGATCCTATATGATTCCTTGCAGAGGGATTCTAAACTTCATGTACGTCAAGGTAAATTGCATAGTTAAGTGTTCTTCCTTTCCATTTGCATCAATGAATGACCTATTGGAACTAATGTTTTGTTAATTATATTCAATTCATAGGAAAGTATTACCTCGTAGATGCTGGATATAGAAACATGCCTGGTTTTTTTGCACAAGTACGAGATACCGTCTCAATGAGATACAAGGGCGATTTCCAGAATCCTCCAAAGAGATATTTAATGAAAGACATTCCTCACTAAGAAATGTGGCAGAACATGCTTTTGGTATTCTAAAGAAGCGTTGGGCCATTCTTAGTGCAGCCCAATACTTTGGTTTCCCTACACAAGTTAAGATTGTCGTGGCATGCTGTGTACTTCATAATCATATAATGGGAGTTGATCCATCCGACCAACTTACTCAACAAGGGATTCATGAGGCAAATCAACGCACTACAATAGACGAAATTGACATCGTAGATGAAGACCTCATCCCAGAAACCCTAACAGAAAGGCTCCAAAGGAATGAGATGGCAAGGTGGTCTTCATTTAGAGACCAAATCAGTTGGGAGATGTTTCAGGACTGGACTGGAGGAGATTGCGGCAAGGTTCATGAGTCCATTTTATGGCTGTCCTGCAATTGCATTATATTGGTGTTTGTTGTGTTCACCAGTAGACAATTATGTCCGTTACTTTTAGCTTCTTGACTTTGTTGCTGGTTATTATGCTGATACCTGATGTAATTTTGGAAAATGGATGATACAGCAGATTGCACAACAGGTAGAGCACATCATTTTGCTCTAATTAAGCTATGTGGTCATGCATGGTTTCCCTATGAAAGAGCCCATGACCATGGCTATAGAATAGATTACCTAGTCATGCATTTTACTATGTTGTCATTGCATTTCACGCGGGTATTTTGTAATGATACACTTTCTCTATGAAAAGCAACCTACGTAGTCAGGTATTTTAGAAGCATTACAGGTTAAAGGTATAATGACAAGTTTAAGCTCATGACTGGCAATGTTGACAGGTAATGCTATGGTGACCATGTCAAGGTTGTTAGGCAGTGGCCGATCTATGTAGAATCCAGTGTGGGCAATTGCCCCGACTCAAATAAAATAGTGGGGGTCAAATAAAATTTCACTTCTTAAATGAGGTATTTTTTTTCATGGTTTTAGAAGGTCTTATCCACTAATTAAAGGTCCTAGATTCGTCACTGTCGTTAGATCTCTTTAGTTTGAATTTATATTTCAGATTGATGGGCTCAGGTTGATTCTTTGTAGGTGTCATGTTTCGTGCGAGGATGTGCTGCAGGACGTTGTGGGGGCTGATTTGAACTCAGATCGCCAGCTTCCATTAACAAATCCTCACTGATGACTGTTCTATGAACGAACAAAATAATGAAATATAACGTTAGGTGCTGTTGCACATAGAAGCTATAGGTTTCCCCCTTCAAAGTTCAAACCAAACACAGCCTTTGCACCTAGAAGCTAGAACACAAGATCAACCTAATTGCCAATGTAACTTTTCCAAAAAAAGAAAAAATGAAAAAGAGATTCGGGCACAGCCTGCTCACCAAGTATGCCACTTCAGTTGGACGTAGGCTATTCGAATCTTACACGAGATCTTACTCTGCTTGTAGAACAATCAAGCTAGACAAAATCTCACAGCTGATCAACCCATTGCACCATTGTAATAAAACTCTTCAAAGCAATACTAAGGCCAAAAGGTAATCAGTTGAGTTCAACTTGCTGGAGGCAAAGCTATTTATGCAAGGAATCAACTGATGGCACAACATTTGACACAGCTTTATAAATTCCTCCGAGCTAATATCGGTTAAAAACAAGGTCCAGATATACAAGCATCTCTATTATTATTTGCATATATATGCACAAGTGGTATCAACACAGCCCAGGTGTAGTTTTGCAGGCTCTAAACCCATCTCTAAAAACATGTACAACTTATTTAGTACCCCCGCCCACCCCAAAAGAAAATATCAGTATATGATCAGAACAATAGTAAAGCCAAAAAAATAGAGAAGAACCCGTCATCTTCAACTTAGAACGTTTCTTCTGGCTTCAGGAAGTTGTAGAATTCTAATTGAGTCATCTCTCCTCCTGTCACCGGATCAAATTGGCATCGATAGAAGCTGCATATGTCCATTAAAATTTCATAAGTCAGCTATATACTTCAAGTTTACTGGTAACTTACGGTAACTTTAAAGAGAAAAATACAACTGTTGACACCAAAAGTAAGGCGACCCCTCGTATCACAAACATGCCCAAAACATAGTCTCCATACTAATTCCTTGCTTTGCTAAAACATCAGCCAAACCATTTTCTGACCTCCTAAGTCCATTTAAACTGTGCTCCAAGCTCCCTTGTTTAGGTTATCCCAATTGAGCCAGAGAAAAGGGCCAAAGACTTTTTTTTTAATAATCAAGGGCCAAAAACTTCCTTCCACATATCTAAAAAAAGTATATGCTACATTTTCCTAATCATCTAAAGGGTATACTCCCAACGATAAATTCAGTATTGTAGGGATGCAAATTGACTGAGTTGGGCTGAAGCCTGAGTTAGCAGCTAAAAGCCACTCGGGGGCAGGTTTGGCCTATTACGTTCCTAATATTCTTGCTCTATTAAGAGCATTATAGATCAAAAATAAAAGCACAAATGCCATTGATAAATGCATATCAACATATTTCATATATACATGCACATAGACAATTAGAAGATACTTCTGTATAGATAACATGCATGACATGTATGTATTTGTACATGTTTGTGCATAGGTGTGATTTTAGATACTTGCCTTGATTCCCGAGCAGACCAGAAAAAGTTAAACACATCGTATAAGAGTTTTCGTTTTTATGCTTTCATCTTTACTTTTACATGTGCGCTTACACTGCCTTTTCAATCGGATAACACAAACCCGGGAGGGGGATGCTCCACTACAACAAGCCAAAAGGCCCAACCAAGTGACCCACCACCAGTTGGTTAGGTTAATCATATTCAGATGATTCTGACTAGCTGAACCCGATGGCTGTGTAGCATGCAATGGAATCAATGAAAATGCCCCAAGCCAGTCATAAAATATATGGGGCCCACAGTGAGAGTTTAAATGGTTGTGGACCCATGTATTTTATGACTGGTGTGGAGCATTATCATTGGTTCCACAACCCGCTAAAAAGCTCTTGCATTCAGCTAATCCTATCTCTAAGTGAGATGGTCACTCAGATCACTCAGCTTCTTTGTGGTACGGCCAGTGGGCCTCATGAACACCCTACTCTATTCCCCATCCCAAGACCCCTCTTATGTGTACTATGTAATACCATTACATAAAGACATATTTACGGTGTATATGATGGTATTAATATGTAATATACATGTATATTATGCTATGTCAGCCAGGTTCAGATTGGCTTGGGTTGGAGTCGCATTGGGCCAAGCTGGACTCAAGCTACCAAAAGCCACAACCCAAGCCAAACCCAATTTTAGGTCAGGCCCAAGTTTTGTCCAAGGCCCAGCCCAAAGCTTGAAGCCCCCCAAGTTAGAGCCCTACTTTAATAGCATTGAGATGTGATCAACTACCTTCCATCCATGCCAAGAATCACAATAGTGTTCTTTTGATGGCCAAAAGCAACAATGTACTGAGAACCTTCATGCAAGCGAAATTGGGCCACTGACCACTCTGAGCTGAAATACTTCGGCAGCACCCCTACATAACCACAAACCCAGTTTAGAGGGCAAAAAGTCAAGATTCAAGAATGGTTCAAAACTGATAACAAGCTTAGTGAACTCGATACTCCCAGTCAATCCATTCCGCTCAATAATGGGAATATATTTGGTATATAATTTGTTTTCTCCAATCACATAGTAAAGCATCTGTTGATAAACAAGAACAATATCCATAAAATAACATTACAAGACACAACATCTTTTCTATTGTAGTTGCCCTTAAGGATCTGCTAGTCAAATTACCAAACAAGGTTAGTCATTATCATACCATACTATAGTTATATAAGAGCAAAGGTAAGAACCTTTAATGAAGGAGAGAGATGAACTTGCCGATGGAACAGCAAGATTGGGGTCAGAAGGAGTGCGTGCGGTGTCGTCCCCTGGGGATCCTGAATTAAGCTTGAGGCTGAAAACGTGAACCGTGCCCTTATCACTTGAAACAGCCAGCCACTGCATCGTAGAGGAGAAAGCCAGGCTGTAAATCTCTGCTCTATCTGCACCCCTTCGTACCTACATTGAACATCCATTTGATTTCACCATATTCCTGAAGAAAAAAATCTATAAATAGAAATAAACTGTGAATGAAATAAGTTACCAATCCCAGGACTAACAACTGTATTTCTGGATTTAAGATCATAGCATATACAAGGTCGTCCATTTTAAAGGTCAGATTACCCAACTTAGACTCTAGGTAGAATAATTATCAGACCAATGGGTTAAAGGTCAGATTACCCAACTTGGCTTACACAAAACAAATGTGAGTAACTCCACAGCCAGTCAACTGATAACCACACAACTACTGCTTTACTATACATTGCTTCCAATTTTAACCCCTTCCCTGGCCAATGCATCCAGTATTGAATTAGCAGATCTTGGAAACCAAAAGAAGATCAATTCAATTTTGACTATAAAATGTTGGCCTCTCCAATTTGACATAGAAGATTCCAAGGTCCAACTCATCCCACTCTCATCTATCTGATTACCACTTGGAAATATCCCTCCACTTCCAAAGATGAGCACTTCAAGGAGAGAGCAACCGACTCTAAAAATCCAATTACGAATAACTTTTTGAAGAAACCTTCATTATATAATTAGATATTCTATCAACTAAATAGAGCCCTACACCAACATATTCTTAGATAATACAATGTATATATCCATGGCTATGCGTGATATACTATTAGATATTAGAAGGTACATTGTGTGTATACATGTATTTATTACCAGATAATAGAATGCATATAAAAATCTTAATCTTTACTATTTATTAAGTAGAAAACCAGAGTTAATAAATTTCATTTTTAAGAGCAACTAGCCTAAGTTTAACATTTTCATGTGGTTTATTTGGGTTAAACAGGCCAGCGATCCTGAAATAAGTCTTTGGTTCTCCATGCTTCTTTCTTCAAGCGGGCAGTACAAAATCCATCAACAATGCAAAAGAAAAAGTCATTTTTTCTGTCCTCCAAAAAAAAAAGTTCAGTGTAACTCTTAAGCGGTAAATAGAGATATTTGTGGCTTATTCAGATCATCACCTACCAGTTAGAGAGAGGATCTCTCACAACAATGTTCCATGCAACAGAAAAGCATACTTTGCAGGCTTCAGAAGAAGAATATATAACTTGTATTTTCAAACATGGCATGCAAAAATAAACCCCACAGGGCCCAAATGGCTAAATTTGATAATTGTGTTGTATTTGAGACCAGATCTGCACCTCACACCGACCTCACACGCACATCCTACCATGCATTGGAAACATCTCCTGTACTTATAAGTTATTATTCACGGGAGATGTTCCCAATGCACGGTGGATGTGCCTGTGAGGCACCCATGTATGAGGAGCGGATCTCATTCCGTTGCATTTCACTTTTTCCTTGGTAGGAAGCTTGAACTGAACCCCACATATCCACAAATTCATGGTATGAAAGATGCACGGGGTTATCTATCAAAAAAGAAAAATACACGGGCCCAAATTCCAAAACCCTAATAAATGGTTATAACATCAACAGACTCTTCACTCACTAGCTGGTAGGGTCTACCTACCTCAGGAGATTCTTTGAGGGAGCTCTGGCCTCCTATAGAGAAAAGAAGAAGAAGAGAAAGGTTTGGTGCTCAAGAAAGGTGATCCTCTTTACTGATATTCTGTTATTTATAGGCCTTACATCACATGGGCATACTCTCAGTTGTAACTAACTTGCTGGTGTGGTCCCCTCACACAGGTCTTTGGATAAGACTGCATGGGTATCATGCTGGTGGGCCGATGGGTGGTGCTGGGCCTAGCTGTTTGCCTATCAACTCCACCCCCCCCCCCCTTGAGGCTGACCTTGTCCTCAAGGTTGATGTGGGGAAATTCTTGCTGAAGGTGAGCATATTCCTCTCAAGTTGCTTCTTCTTCAGGCAGGTTGCTCCACACAACCAAGGCTTCTTCTATGTAGTGCTTTCCCTTGCGAACCCAGTGGAAGTCAAACAGCTTGTTGGGCTCTGTGATCATAATTCCTTCCTCAGGGAAAGCTGGAGGAGTGGCCTGAGATATGTCTATGTTGCCAATGTGTTTATTGAGTACGGATATATGAAAAACTGGGTGGAGTTTGGAAGAGGCCGGAAATTCGAGCTTGTAGGCGATTGTGTCGACTCTTTCTAGGATCTTGAAGGGACCATAGTACTTGGGTGCCAATTTCTGCCAAGCACGTTTAGCCACCGAAGTCTGTTGATAGGGGTGCAGCTTCAAGTAAACCATGTCACCTAACTGGAATTCCAACGACGGTGTTTGCGATCATAGGTAGCCTTCATAACCTGTTAAGCTCTTTGTAAGTTGCTTTTAAGCTCTTGTAAGATTAAATCTCTACTGGAGAGGTATTCATCCACTGCAGACACTGATGTAGAACCTAATTCATAGGGGAGACCGGCGGGAAGGTCCCTCCCGTACAAATCCCTGAACGGCATCATCCCCGTGGTCACATGGTAAGTGGAGTTGTACCATAACTCAGCCCACGGTAACCATTTCAGCCATTGTTTTGTTCTCTGTCCGGCAAAGCATCTTAGGTAAGTTTCAATGCATCTATTAACGACTTCTGTTTGCCCATTGGACTAGGGGTGATAGCTGGTGGAATGTGTCCAGTGGGTTCCCTGAATTTTAAAATATTCCTGCCAAAACTTTCCCATGAATAGGGGATCCCAATCAGAGACAATAGACTTTGGTGTCACATGCAACTTGGTAATATTTCTAACAAATAAGTATGCTACTTGTGCCACTGTGAATGGGTGAGACAGAGCAACGAAATGGGCATATTTGCTTAGCCTGTCCACCACCACCATTATTACGACCTTGCCTTGTGAGGGTGGCAGTCCCGTGAATCCATGATGAAGTTCATGGTGAGATCCTCCCCAACTTGATAGGGTATCTTGAGAGGTTGAAGAAGTCCGACAGGTTGCTGAGTGTCGTATTTCTTCTGCCGACAAGTTGGGCAGCTGGCCACAAAGTGTTGGACCCGCTTCCTAATCCCTTTCCAATAGTATTGAGTTGCACCGGTAAGTTCTCAATACTCTTGAGTGGATGGCTTCCGGGTATGAGTGAAAAAGCTGCAGTAGATCCTTCAGATGTGGGGATTCTGGTGGTAGGACTAACCTCCCCTTATAGTATAAGGAGTCCTTCACCAAGTAACCGAGCATTCGGGTAGGATCCTCAACCAATTTCTTCTTGATGTTCTCCAGTTCTGGATCGACCAAAGCCTCTTGTTTAAGGACCTCCAATAATGGATAAAACGGTCTGGTTTCAATCATCACCTGTAACTAATCTTGCCTTGACAGGGCACCTGCTACCCAGTTGGAAGCCCGAGTTTTGTATTCTATTATGTAATCAAACCCCAATAATTTTGATACCCTTTTTTGTTGTTCTTCTATGAGGATGCACTGTTCCAACAAGTATTTAAGGGTTCACTGATCTGTTTGAATGGAGAAGCGCCAACTGAGGAGATAGTGTCGTCATTTAAGAACTGCTAAGACCACAGCCATCAGTTCCTTAACAATAGGTGGACTGGTTCCTGGCTCGAGGGGAGAGAGCCTTGCTGAAATAAGCCAATTACTTGCCCCCTTGCATTAGGACAGCACCGACGCTGATGCCCAAGGTATCGCACTCAACAACAAAGGGTTGGTCAAAATCGGGCAAGGTCAATGTGGGGGGTGATTATACTGCTTGCTTAAGAGAGTCAAATGTCGGTTGGGCTTCTGTAGTCCAATGGAAGGCATCCTCTCGCAACAGTTGGGTCAATGGGGCTACCATCAGCCCATAATTTCTGAAGAATATCATCTGTAGTAACCCGTTAGGCCCAAGAAGGCTTGTAGTTGCTTGACTGTTGTGGGCCGGGCCTAGTGCACTGCTGGCTACCTTAGTAGGATCGGCCTTCATCCACCCCCCCTCTAGACCACGTGACCCAAGTATTGTATCCGTTCCTGTCCAAACACACACTTGGAGAGCTTGGCGGAGTGTTGATTTTGCCTCAGCACATCCAAGGTTAGTTGCAAATGTAGGAGGTGTTGTCCCCAATTAGGACTGTAAATTAAAATATCATAAAAAAAAAAAAAAAAATGGAACTTAAAAGTTTTGGAAAAACATATAAATGTTGTAAAAAAGTTGCAAATGTAGGAGGTGTTGTCCCCAATTAGGACTGTAAATTAAAATATCATAAAAAAAAAAAAAAAAATGAGCTTACGGAGGTAAGGTCTGAAGATGTCGTTGATGAGCGGTTGGAAGGTCGATGGTGCATTAAATAAGCCAAACAACATAACTAGGAACTCATAATGACCATCATGAGTCCTGAAAGCCGTTTTGTGTGCATCTTCACTATGAACACAAATCTAATGGTAACCCGATTTGAGGTCCAACTTTGGAAAAAACTCAGGCTTCCTGTTGCTCGCCCAACAACTCATCAATCAAAGGGATGGGAAACCGGTCTTTGACCGTGATAGTGTTCAATGCCTGATAATGCACACAAAACCTCCAAGTATTATCCTTTTTTTAACCAATAGAACCGAGGAGGAATATGGACTGTTGTTGGGTTGAATGAAGCCCTTATGTAGAAGGTATTGCTCTAAGCTTTCAATTTCTTGGCACCGATAATGTGGTACCGATAAGATCGGGCGTCCGCCGGTGCTGTACTAGGCAAGATGGGGATTCGATGATTGTGCGTTCTTTCTGGTTGGAGTCCCTGCGACTCCTTGGAAACTTCTTGAAACTCAGCCAGAATTTCTTGGAAATGGGGGTCTTGGTAGCCCAGGTTAGCTTCGATGGGTGTGGACTCCAGGTGTGGGCTAGGGAAGCAATGGTCCAAGAGCATTAGGGTGGGCCTATTATGGCCCCAACTAGACTTGAGTAAGGAGCTAAGGGTTGCCAGCTGTAGGGTTAGCGTCCGAGACCCACTTAGGGTAATCGTTCGGTTCCCTCTCTGGAATTCCATGGTCAACTTAGACCAATCGCAAGCTACTCGACCTAAGTCACCCAATTGGCAAAACCACTACACCCCATGCACGATGTCGGCCCCACTAAAGGCCAAAGTATACAAGTATACTTAGAAAATCTCCCCTTGGATGATCAAATCAAGCCCTCTACAAATACCTTCACATGGTGACTGGTTGTCATTGGCCACCTGGACATTAAATATTGAGGTGGGTTTGATGGCTAACCCCAACTGAGATCATCAAAAATAAAGTTCATAGTGCTCCCGTTATCCACCAAGATGCATACCTCTCGACCCTTTAGTCGGCCCATAATGCGCATGGTTTGAAGTGAAGTGAGCCCAATGAGGGCTTGCAATGATATTTCAGGTGGGCCAAGCCCAAAAATCACGTCAAGGTTAGCTGGGTTGTCTTCATTGAGTACCTCCTCTGAATTCTCTCCCTCCTCTGGCCCATCAGTCTGCAAAAGAAAGGCTTGTTGGGCCTTACATCTATGACCTAGGTCAAAAGCGTTCATCACAACTGTAACACAGGTCTCTTTCCCTTCAGGCCTGCATTTCGGACCATGTCATTCTTTTGTAGGGGGCATTGGACCTGAAACCCTGGGTATCAAGTCTAGGGGAACCAGGTGCAATTGGGTTTGGGCCAGTTTTATCATTAGTGGCTCGGCTTGTAGGGGGTGTTTTCAGTAGGGGTCCCTGGGATCAAACTAGTGGTCTTTTAAGTCGACCAAACTTTTCTTTATTCAGCCTAGTCAAGCCCACAACAGCCATGACAATAGGGGGTTGCATGAATTTCACTTCCACATGGATGTCTTCTCTCAATCCCCCAATAAAGCTTCCTAACAGAGTGTTCTCCATCCACCCTTGCACCCTAGAGGAGAGACGCTCGAACTCCACCTGATAGTCTCTTACAGATCTGGTCAGGTGCAACTTGGCCAGCTGCTCATCATAATTCTCAAACCCAGTGGGTCCAAATGGCATGCATAGGGCTTCGGTGAAATTCGTCCAAGTCACTTGGGGATGTGACTGGCGAAACCAATGGAACTAGAGAATAGCTTCTTCCAGATGTATGGTGACGATTGAAACCCTTTGATTCCCTAGTGTTTCATGGTACTCAAAGTACCTTTCAGCTTTGTAAATCCACGGAATAGGGTCCTCACTTGAGAAGTTCAAAAATGTGATCTTGGTCTGGTTCATCGCCCCTATTCCCCCACTTCAATTGCTGGTTCAACTACTCCCCTCTCCTTCGGATTCATTGTTCTCACCGATGGGTGCCTTTTCTAGCTTGGCCAAGACTACTGTGAGAGTTGCCTTGATTTTAGTGATATCCCCTTCAAGCTTCTCAATATGGTCATCATTGGCAGAGGATCGAGTTCCCATTGCTCAAGACTGAGCTCTGATACCACTTGGTAGGGTCTACCCACCTCATGAGTTTCTTCGAGGGAGCTCCAGCCTCCTAAGAAGAGAAAGGTTTAGTGCTCAAGAAAGGTGATCCTCTTTATGGATATTCTATTATTTATAGGCCTTTCATCACATGGATAAGCTCTAAATTGTAACTAACTTGTTGGTGTGGTCCCCTCACATAGGTCTTCGGATGAGGTTGCATGGGTATCATGCTGTTGGGCCAATGGGTGGTGTTGGACCTAGTCGTTTGCCTATCACTAGCAAACTAGGATTAAAGCTAAAGCCTCAAGTTGCAGTCTAGAACTACAATAATATTATAATATTACATTATTCATTTAATAGAGATAAGTAATAAGTAATAGGAGTAATTATTATTTTAATAAATACAAGAACATCTCACATGAAGTTTAAAACCTCATATTGAATGGGGAAGGGAAATAAGACCTTATATGTGATAAATAAAGATTTGGATATGCTCACTAACAATGCCTAGGTGACAAGGCACCTTAGAGGGTCGCCTCACCCAAACGCCTAAATATTTTCTAGGCTTATAATATTTTATTATTCTTATACTAATCTCTTTTATTATTTCTTATTTGTTTGGGTTCAATTGACCCATAAATGGGTGACATAGTCTAGAACCCTTCAAGAATTCAAAAGGGTTTAGTATAAGTAAGGAAGAACCTGAAGATTTCACATAAATGTTGACTTTCTATGTTTTCATATGACCTTTATGCTTAATTCATAATGATCATGGTAACCATCAGTTAAAGATTACTACTAATTACTATGAGACCTAGGAAACTACCCTAGGGTTAATGCTTTTATTGTAAAAAACTTAATGCCTACAAGGTGCCCCCATCACCTAGCTTCACCTTAGTGCATTAAAAACCATACTTGCTAAATTGGGTCTTTCTTGTATGCTAAAATCATTTTGTCTTTCTTTCTTTCTTTTTTTTTTTTCCTTTTTGGCAGGGGGGGGGGCACAAGATATTGGAGGGATATCTATCTTTCCTTTTGCATATTAGTGAACACTCTACTTAATTGTACTTTTAAGCTAATTAATACAATCTATATTGTTAAAAGAAAAAAAAAATCCCAATGAAGTGTCTGTTATCAAACTGACATGACATGAATAAATGTCTTTCTCTTAATTAATTAGATTCAAGGATCATGATTTGCCAATTTCAATACAAAAGCTGGTTATTTGCTGAATGTTGCATTAAACATCCAAAATCTGGTGCATCTAAAGGAACATAAGAAAATCAGAAGAAAAGAAAGCAAATGCAAAAACAGAAACAGAAACAGAAAAGTATCAAGGCCAAAACTTTCTGGATTTTGTTTTCCACACTAGTTTTGTCATATAACCCTTTCTTGAGCTACTATGACTCTATGAGATGGGTTAGTGGGATTCATCAAAAAAAAGAAATGAGATGGGTTAGTGGGGTGGAAGCCATCTGAAGATTGTCCACTAGTACTTGGATAGTTGCTTTGAAGCATCACAAGTGTAACTATCATCAGTCAACCAAGACGGAGAAATGATGAGAAAAAGACATAACTATGAAAACTCTAGAGGCATATGCACAGGAAAATAAAGAGGTGAGGATGAAAGGCAACAGCTAGTGCACAAGTCTAAATCTTTTGAAGAACACTCAACCATAACAAGTAGGGGCTGTTCTTGGTTTAAAGAGCTTGAAGGTTGCAATCCAAAGATTAACGCACAACCACATCTGATGGACAACCGACAGAAGAAATGCGTTGCTGAATGAAAGCGGAATGACCAAACGAGGTTGAGGCATAGAGATTCTCCTAATAATTTCTACATGGTACATATCCCAATCCACTGACCCTTGCCTTAGCTACAGGAGAGCTAACCCCTTATCAAAAAACACTGTAATAGTAATATAGTATAACTCTTAATTGTCTTGAGTTTAATGCTTGTCTACTGCATCGCTACCCATGTTATGCAACATAAGTCCAAACTCCAAACTCTAGAATAAACCAAGTGTTCCTACGGCACTACTCAGCTAATAAATGAAACATAACTCTAAAGCAAAAACAAAACAACACATTACTCGCAGAAAGCACTGAATGCGGGAGGCACTAGCTAGAACAATAAAGCATCTGAAGTTTCACGGTCACAATACAAGCGAGCAACTATACCGAACTTTTGATGAAAAGGAAAGGATGAAACAAAGAGACGATTGCAACAGCCACATACCTCTTGCAGCAACGTTCCATCGAACGTATTGAATATCCTAACAAGAGTTCCCTTAGTACTGGCCGTAGCAAGAAACCTTCCATCCTGTGTGAGTGCAAAACACGCAATCCTTGAATCATGAGCCATGATGAACTTCGTACGCTTCGAACCGTAATGCTCAACCCTAACTTGCCCCTTCTGTAGCCCGGGGCAAACCAGCACGAGCGACCCCGACATCTGTGAGACCGCACACAACCCCTTCGGATTGGCAATTGTCTCAATTTGATGCAACACCTTCAGGTCCGCGAAATTGTACACGAATATCTTCTGCTCCAGAACAACAATTATACGGTCTCGACGCAACCTCACCGCGCGGACCTCGGATCTGAAAGAGAGCTCACCAATGCACCGACTCTGGTGATCATCCCAAATCATGACCTTATTGATAGGGTACTGTGGATCAGGTCCGCCCCCGACAAGCGCAAGAATATTGCACCGGAACAGCATCTCAACAACGCCTATACCACCTCCGTTATCGAAATCTCGCCTGAAGATCTCGCGGAAAGGATCGCAGTTATAGATCCGGAATCCATGATCGGTGCCGGCAGCAAAGCATCCGTGGTCCTGATTAAAGGAGATGTGAAGGAGATTCGGGACTGTAGACGGCGCAGGATCCAGATTATCGTGGAGAATAGGATTTGAGTTAGGGTTTTGAACAAAAAGAGAGGCCGAAGATGGCGGATTAGAATTGGAGGAGGCTTCCTGACCTTCGTCTCCATCTTCATCATGTTCCTCAGGCTCCGCCCTTCGTTGTTCCAGAGGTGAAGAAGACTCTTCCGAAACCTGAGCTTGATCTGAGATTGTTGCGTGCTGGTGCTGAGGAGTGGAGAGAAAGTCCGAATTAGGCTTGGGGTTATCAGGGTTTGAGTCTGGAAGCGGCCATGAGGCAGAGGAACAGGCGGAGAGAGATGCCATGGAAAGATAGGAGTGGAATTAAGAAGAATTCAGGGGCAGTATGGAGTCATTAGAGCTTTCGCATGGATCGAAAGAGAGAGGGAAACAAATATCAAGCGATGAGGTGAGAAGGCAGAGAGAGAAAGAGAGAGAGAAGCGCTGGCTGGCTTTCAGACGTCGGGGGTGGTGATGGTTTTGTTTGAGTTGGGGGAGTGGAGTAGATATATCAGCCAAATTCCTTTCCAAAAAAAGGATTACACTAGAGAATTTATTTACCAATGAGTCCTTCTCCCAGATGGCTTACGTGTCTTCTTCGTTCTCCTGTACATATCTGTAAACGTGGCTAGCTGCCAGTGCTTGGTGGGATATATTTGACATTATATACAAACAATAGGATGAAATTGTCCTTCTAGGATTACATTTCCCTTGTATATTCTTGATTCTTGGATTGCACGGAAATATATTCCGGCACCTAGGTTTTTCCTAACGGAGGAAGCATCGCCGTTAGTTTTCCTAACGGACGTTATTAGGCTGCTTACACGCAAAGGAAAGGAAATCAATATTCGATCTATACTTTCACAAGTGCTGTGTCAGACTCAGATCAGAACGGACGGTTGAACCGGGTTGAATCGGTGACCTAGTGCAGTGAGTCTTCTGCTTCTCAAATGCTGGTTAACCATAAAACGAGCTTTCCCTTCTTTTTTTTTTGTTATTTCTCTGAATATACACAAGGAAAACTTGGTTTCATGTCATTTACATGAACTATTTTTTTGTGGTAAAACGAATGAGAAACAATGATTGAAAATTGAACTATTTCAAATTTTCAATTTGAATAAACTCATCAAAAGTTATTTTCTATTGTAAATGCTTTTGCTTTCCGTATTTCTGAAACTAGTAAATATGCACAAGTGACAAGATGATGATAATAGTAGTAGTAATAAATTTATAATAACAATTTTAACCCGAATGATGAAGACAGGTCATAGAAGCATATTCATATTGGTGGGTTTGTTGCCTTCTGACCCAAAGATCTAGCTTAAAATTAATCTTATTTGTAATTTAAATCAATGTTTTCAATTTACAATTGAATAAAACAGTCTTGTCATTAAGGGTGGCAACCAGCCGAGCTTTTTACGAGTTGTTCAAGCTTGGCTCGTGAAAAGCTCGGCTCCACTCGAATTCAGTCGAGTTCAAGTTCGAGCTCGAGCCCAATTCAGTGGCTCGATTAATAAATCAGCCGAGCTCAAACTTACTAGAGCTCGGCTCGTGAGGCTCGCGAGCCGGCTTGAATATATAATATACATAATAATATTTATATAATAAAATTATAGAAAATAATATATAATAAAAATATTATAATTAATAATGGTTATAATTCTTAATTTTTAAATATAAAACAAATTTTTTGTATATAATTTTTATGTTTATAAAATGTTTTTATAATAAAATATATAATAAATATTTTTATAAAATATAAAACAAGCCGAGCTCGAGCTTATGAACTTTTGACTCGAGCCGAGCTCAAGCTCAAGGTTCTGGCTCGAACCGAGCTCGAGCCTGATACTATTCGGCTCGGCTCGGCTCGAATCCACCCCTACTTGTCATACAAGGCAAAAAAAATGTTGACTTGGTCAACAATCAATTGACTTTATTGGTTAAAACCTTTGACTTAGTAGACAAAGTCAAGGAATTGTGGGTAAGATATTAATTCTTTTTTTCTTTTTTTTTCAAATTTATCTATTTCCATGTATAGTAATAATAAATTTTCATTTTTATGTATTTTTGTTTAATATAATATTAAAAACATGCATAATTTTTTTATTTTTCATTATTTTACTTGTGATGTCACAGGTTTACTTTTTTAATGGGAGGGAAATGTGGTTCCAATTGATTTTTAGAAGAGTGGATTTTTATCAATGTTTTTTCATCTTATGGTCAAATTGATCAATTGGTTAAGCCATCACTAACTTGGATATTTAGGGGTGCAAATTGACTTGTACTAAGCTAACATTTTACATTGTTTGAGGCCTAGGGTTTTCAAGCCAAGCCAATTTAAATTTTGACAAAAACCCAACCCAAGCACTCCCAAGTTTCATCCCCAAGGGTATTAATTTGGTCCATTTACCACCAAATTGCATGCTTGTAAAGGAAAAAAAAATGATGGCATGAAATGGTTGCCTAGTTAATTGAATCATTAAACCATTTAACTCAACCAATGGGATAATAGGTTAGATATTAATTCTATTTTTTTTATGTTCCATTTCCATTATTAATTAAAGTAATTCTTATTTATCACACTTATTTTTTAACATGATGAATATATAATATGATATATTTGCCCAAATATATTTTATAACTTTTTTTGTATTCCAATCTATTTTTAATTTTTATTTAATTATGGCATTGCAGTTTGATGCATTCGACCTAAACAATTGAATAATTGACCTAATACATGGACAGAAAAATTGTTGTGCTTTTGAGCCAATTTTAAATCTTGTATTCCATTTTTGACATTAACAAAAAAAAGAATCTGTACTTTTTTAGCCAAATGGAAATGGGATAACCATTGGACTAACCACTTAGATAAGAATACAGTTTTGTTTTTGGATCAATTTTAAATTTTGTATTTCATTTATATCATTAATAAAATAATTCTTATTTAAGATTAATGTATAATATTAGAGTGTGCCCACTTTTTGTATTTTTGTAATTCCTTTTATTTTATTATTCAGCCATGAAAACATGGGGTGACCTATTTAACTAGAATGGTTGAACCATTGGCCCTCTACTCAAATGAGAAAACAATTTCATTTCTAAGTTGGTTTTAAATTTTGTATTTTGTCTCCTTCATTAATAAAAATATTTCTTATTTATCATAATTAATTTGTTTAATATGAAAAATATTTAATATTAGATGTGTGCTAAAATTTTTTCACAAAACTTTTCAATTTTCTATAAATTTTGTATTGTTATATATTTATAAAGCTTTATTATTTAATTATGATGTCATGGATTAACCCATTTGACCCAAATGTGGTTGATTTGCTTATTTGTCACCTAGATAGAAATAAATGGTTTGTTTTTAGGTCAATTTTAAGAAGTACATATTATTACACTATTAAAATTAATTATTATGCATGGATTTAATTGATGAAATTTATAAAGTGAAACTAACATACCTTAAATATAGGACTCAACAAGGAATAATGGGAATTAATGCCTTAAATATTGGACATAATGAGAGGGAATGTAATAAACCTAAAAAGTGATATGTACCTTTTATGCCCTGCAACGAAAAGGGGATAAATTCAAAATTAGGAGGTTTAAGCAAGAAAAGTCTAGAAATCTAACCCTCTTACAAGCAAGGTTCAAAATATCACAATGTATCGGCCATCGTTAATGCATATTTAATATTGAATCTCTCATTAATGTCGTTTATTTAAGTCTAATTTCTCTTTCATTAATTAGTCAATTACTCCAAGGCAAATTTAAATTTAAATTTGAATTTTAGCGTCTAATTCAAATTCTCTCATTGATTCCTTTAATTAATGATCCCCTATCATTAATTTTGTTTTGTTAGTGTAAAAAACTTCAAATTTTAGCTATAGCAAGATTCAAACCTTGGTCACTTAATTTTAAGTTTTAACAACTACAAGTTCACCGATGTGCCACATATATTTGTTTGCTATAATTATATGTATTTTTTATTTTAAGTAAATTTTCACTTTTCTTAATGAGTGACAAATTTTTATTACTAAATGATAGAATTAATTATTAAAATTTATCTACTAATAAATATTAAGATTAACTATATTGGTTTTTGAAAATTGACATTCACACTTTTTTTTTTGTTTTTTTTTTACATTTTAGTTATTGCATCATTTTTTCAACGGTTACTAATTGTGTTCCAATATGTCACACACTCACACTTTATATAAACCATTAAATTATGGTTTTTATATTTAAATGACTTATTTTTCAATCATATAAAATTTGTAAATATAGTTAGTAATAAATTTTTTAAGATTTATTTGAATTTTTTATATATTTATGTGTATTTTGATTTTTTGTCTATATCCATATGTATCCAAAGCATATCCCAATACGTCTCTTAAAATTGTCTTTCTGATACATCTTGCATTTCTGATACTTTGAACCTTGCTTGCAAGTACTGGTTTAAAGCTTTTATGGATCACTAGGTGTAAAACAAAAACACATTGTAAGGCTGTATTAGTTGGAAATAAAAGGTGCGACGAGGAAGGGAAAACATTTTCCCTCTAATTTAGAAAATAAACCTCATTTCTAAAACCATATAAAAATAATGCTACCAGAATAAAAACACGTTTTCTCTTCAATAAAGCCAATATGAACCACTATTTGGTACCACACACCAAAATCTTCTATACACTAATACACCCTCTAATCCTCTCATAAGTAATGGTTTAAAGCTTATTTTACCGATCGTATGAATTGACATTTAAATGCATTGAAATCTAACATTGTATACTTTATCTATATTATATAAAGTGGACACTTGCCTTGTATTCCATGAAGATCATAAAAGTTAAATCCAAATAGCATGTATCATATATGATCAATAGTCAATATATTACTTTCATGCGTGCATATTTACACTAGTGAAACATAATATCAAACCAACTAAAGGAAAACATTTTATTTTTAAAATCATAAATTAACTACACAACCAATGGCATATTTTCTATGTTTTTTAGTTTTAAAAATCATTGTTTTTCTTTCAAATTAGGTGTGGCACTTTTGCTTTTAGAACTCACAATGATAACAAAAAGAGAAATAATTCAAAGTATGAGGCATAGAAAGTAGTTGAGATGGTCACATGGCATACTCATTCCATTTAGAAGGCATAGGATCAAACCCACAAGCCACACATATGTAAGCTATTTGTGGAAAGGCTAATAGTAAGGGTGGCAACAAGGCGGGTTCATGAAGGATTTTGTAAATTTTAGACCCAACCCACCTTTCTAAACCACCCAACCTGTACCTGCCCCAAAACCTATAGCAGATTGGGTTTTGAGAATCCAAACCCTCTTCGTACATGGAAATGAAAAACCCTCCCTAACCCTATTGTATAACAGAACATAAGACCAACCACTTGTACAATCAAGTTATAAACTTCTATCAAGTTGGTGTAAATTTCATAGACAAGAGTTTCTTGTGAATTTTTATCAAATTGGGATGAGGAAGTTAGAACCATACCAAATTGGTCTTATGTTATTTAATACGGTCTAGTTAATATTGTATAAGTGTGTAAGAAAAAAAAAAAGAATGAGAGAGGGAGCGGAAGAGAAACTGAGAGAGAACAATAGAGATTGAGGGAAAAGAAGAGATCGACCGAGAAAGAGAATAAGGGAGAATGAAAGATTGAATGAGAGAGAGAGAATGAGAGGTTAACTGAGAAACAAAGTGAAAGAGATTGAGGGAGAATGATAGATTGATAGAGAGGGAGTGAACGAGAAAAATTGATAGAGAAAATGTAAAATCCTTTCTTCAAATCACACAGTCATTGAGCAAAGAAAGATGACTGTGAAAGTGGGAGAGTGGGAGGGAGATCAAAAGGCAGAGGGAGTGGGAAGAAACTGAAAACCTTTTTTTTTTATTTTCAAATAACCCAACATTAAGGACAATTTCAGTATATGCTTTTTGTTGTGTCCAACATGGATTAAGAGTCCCATGTTGGCAACAACCAAATAAGCCTTCGATGACATGGCAATGGTTTTTATAATTTGAAATGTATAGTCGAATGTAAAAGTATTGTTGGTTTTTGAACCAACTTGTAGCATCATTTTAAATGTTGAGCCGAGTCAGACTATACTTTTCCTATAAAAAACATTTAGAACATCATCATACAAAATACTTAAAATGTATTTAAAAGCACTTACTCAAAAATCCCATTTGAAGAGAGAAAGCGCCTAAACATGGAAAAATCAAACCGAGCTAAAAATCCTTGGACTCACGTTCTTGGACAAAGTCTGGTAGAAGATTCCAATGAGGGCAAACTTAATTCCAATTGAATTTCAATGAGAGTTAACCCTAATTTAACACCCACTTACATAGAGTTGGTTAACAAAGTGGGTTGAGGTGGCAGCCCTCATCCTAGGCTAGGCTAGGAATAAAGGGTAACTCTCTTTTGACAATCACATTTACATAAGCTCTCATTCACTCACACCAACACTTGAAACTTGTAAGCAACCACAAGTTCTTACAAACTCCAACTGCTTCAAGATCAAGAGAGAAGAAAAAAGGAAAGAAGCTTCTTAGTTCTCTACTCCATCCTTGGATTCAAGCTCTCTCAAAAAGATCAATCCATTGCAAGAAAGTTGCTCTTAGAGAAGTATTAGTCATAACTAATCAAGTCAATAGCTCAAAATGAAGAAATCTACATCAACTCTATAGAAGCACCAAATTAAAAAGAAAAAAAATCTACATCAACACTTTGAAAAGTACGAGAACCATGCCAATAGCCTTTGTCTTCACTAAATTTAACTGTTAATTAGAGGTTGCTCACATTATTGATCAAAATCAAAGAGAGTTTCATCTCTTGTATTTTCTTTATTACAAATTCATTTTTGTAATTTGTCTCCATATTTTATGTTAATTAAATACATGAAATTTGTGTAAGCACTCATAGGCCTGATTCAATTAATCTATATTATATATTATAAAAATACATTATATAATTATAAATTATAACAATATATTAGTTTTTCAAACTTTGGAGCAGAACTCGAATTCATCAAATATTTATTTGAATCAAACTCAAACTTCAACATAAAATATAAATCAAGCTAAGACATGCCGAATTACACCCCTCCAACCTCTGTCCTAACAACATATGTGTTGGTGCGGTCTTTTCATCCATCTATGTTTGTATAGAAACGAATTCTGTCCGAAAAGATTTGCATCAGGTGTTGTGTGCTAAGTAAATGCCAATTCCTCCCTTTGTTGCTACGTTCTCATCATCATCATCATCATTAGGGAAAATTGCATATTAGTACTCTATACTTTGGGCCTAGTCTCACTTTGGTCCCCGAACTTCAAAACATGCCTATCCAATACCTAAACTTCCAAAACGTGCTAGTTTAGTCCAACATTGTTAACCACCGTTAGTGGCAAGTGAAAAGACACAAATGCCCTCTTGAGTATCATCTAATTTTCTCTATCAACCATCTAAATGCCCAAATTTGGCAACCGACAACAATTTTCTCTTGAACGTCGAGCACCACTGCTAGAGCCTTGGAAGAAACTAATTTATTGGCTACATGAAAGCTAGTTACCCTTTTGATGCATGAATAGAAATGCACGATACAGTGCACTAGTCATCTATTGTGTAGAATTGGGATTTCTGGTTTCTTCTTCCAAGTTTGTCGACAGTCAACGTGATTGTAAGCAAAACTATGGAACAAAAAGAAGAAATGGGTCTTTAGGCTCAATTTGGAAAGAGTACGAATACAAATATGTAGAGTGCAAAGTCATGTATTGTGTATTATTTTGTATGTATTTGCACAACACATATTTGTATTTGTACTCCTTCCAAATTGAGCCTTAAGATTTTAGCGGCCAAAACTTTCTCGATTTCTGAGTATAATATTTTTAGTTAAATTTTGAAAGTAAATTGAAAATGTAAAACAAACACAACCATGTAGATCATGATGGTAAATGTCAGTTCAAAATTCTTAAACAAAGGAAAAAAAATTACTTCTCAACTTAATAAACTCTTAAAGCTTATTTGTTTGCGCTTTCAAAATAGATATTTCATGTCCCAAAATACCTTCCAAAACTAAAGAAATACTTGAGTCCTCTCACTAAAATTTTATCTAATCATCTACCTTGCCAGTGTCCTCAACAATGAGATCTAGACCAGCATGATCAAATTGCTGCAAATTTAGTGAAAAATGGTCCTCTTATAGTGGGCAACAATGCAGTTTTCATGGTGACTTAGATGGAGTATCCAAAACGTATACCTCAGTTTCATGTTCTTTATTAAGATGATGACTAGTGTTTTATTTGAAAGGGTAATTTTGATATTTCCAAACATTTTAAGTCATACATGATGCCATGTGATATATATAACTAACAGCTAATTAATAGTAGGTATTAAATTAGTAATTTTAAAAGTTTAAGTACACATTTTTTAAATTCAAAATGAGACTAGACTCAAAATAGAAGATATTAATCTGCAATTTTCCCTTATTATTATTATTATTATTAGGAATCGATGGGAAAGGTTTGGTTGAATAATAAAATGTTTCGCTCGCTCGCACGCAAAATCCGCATGCAATCATCTCGTCTTACTGGATGAAATATAGCAATTTACAAGCGGAAGATTAAATAGAAAAAAATTGACAGAATTGATAAATCTAACAAATTTTTAAATCACATCCTGCTGCAAATGGTCATCCGCGTCCTCATAATCCTCAGAGTCAGAATCCTCTCCCTCCTCTGAGTCAGCCGTGCTCTGACATTGATCCGGTTCCTCTTCCCCGAGAGACTGGTCGTCGATTCCTTTTTCCGCCACATCTGCCGCAACCGTCGGCGTACATGGGGACGTCTCTGATGCACCATCGGAGGGGAAGGTGCCATGCCCCGGCTGCTGCTGCCAGCCGCCTGTGCCACGAAACTTATACGAGAAATTCAGTATACCATGCAGATTTCCTAACAGATCACGGACCTGGCAAGAGATTGTACGCGTCGGCGTAGAATTCCCGGTGGGCGGAGCGTTGTTGAGAAGATCTATGATGGGCACGAAGACCTCCCCTAAAAGCTTGTCGCCCCGAGTCCGGTTGCAACAGAGCTTGAAGGAAAGGAGGATCGGTTTGTTCCGGTGGACGGACAAATCGCACTCACCAAGACTGAAGTTCATGGTGCAATTCCAGTTGGGATTCGTCCCGCCCTTTTGGTCGACGGGCGTTCTCTGGATTTTATTGGGATCGCTGCTGACGGAAACCACGGCATAGACTCTCATATGGCTCTTGAAAACCCTCCTCACGTTTCTGAGATCCCTCGCCGAGATCACAGTTATCTCTAATCTGTTTTCCATCTTCTCTTCTAAATCTTCTGTTTCACATTCAGAAGAGAAGATGGAATATTACACAAAACCAAAAACCAAAAAAAAAAAAAAACAACACACACACACACACAAGATGCAATCTGGCAAATGAGATGTATTTAATAGTCGTAAACAAATCGCCAAAGAGAAGGGTCAAAGTTACGGAGCAAATACGGTTCGACCAAATCTTGTGGTTAACCTTTGACTTAGGGCGGGTTAATTAGAATTTTGAGGGCCCGTTTGGGAGGGCTGCAGTTTGATGGGTTGTTTTCACTGACGCTTGAAGAAGCCCCTCTCTAACCTACCCTTCTCGGCTTCAGATCATTCCCCCCTTTTAGTACATACTAGTTTGATGAATTTTTGGATCCCAAACCTTTCAAATTCGAAGCTATGTGATGTATCGACCCAAATATCTCTGAGGTTGTTGGTAGAGGTTGGAATATTGAGGTTAATGGGTCTAAGGCTATCAGATTTATAAGAAAAAAAAAAAGAGAGAAACAACCTTGCGAAAGAGCTAAAAGAAGTAGAGCAAAAAACATTTCGGCAATACCTTGGAAAAAAAAAATATCTAGTTAATAGATTGAATCAAGTTCAAAAAGACATTTTTAAAGATTCAAATAATATCACCCTCTTAAATCTTGAAAATGTTCTTCAAAAACAACTTGATAAATTGTTGGAAAGGGATGAGGCTTATTGCACTCAAAGAGCGAGAATTGACCGGATCAATTCGAGAGACAGTAACAATAAGTTCTTTCATACAATGGCTACTATAATATCGAAATAGGATTATTAAAGTAAAAAATGATGAGGGCAATTGGATCAATGACGAATCAGGAATTTCTCACTTCATAGAAAAATATAGGCAAAGGTTCAAATCAGAGGGTACTTAGATTTTATAAATGAAATTGACCAATGTGTTACTGAGTAGCATGATGCTCAAATATCTAGAGATGTTACAAATGTTGAGACTTGTGATGCTCTTGAGTCTATGAAGGATCTCAAGGCTCCAGGTCCAAATGGCTTAAATGTTTCATTTTTCAAAAAATTCTGGAATATTATAGGAGATTCAGTGTGTGTTGTAGTTAAAGCTTTCTTCCATAGTGGAAAATTATCTAGGATTTTGAACCAGATTTTTATCACTCTGATAAAAAAAAAGAACCCTAAAACTATGAATGATTACAGGCCTACCAGTCTTTGTAATGTCTTTTATAAAATCATAACTAAAATCCTTGTCAATAGGATTAAACATCTCCTAGACAAAATTATATCCTCTTATTAGAGTGTCGTTGTGCCAAACAGACAAATAAATGATAATATTCTTATTGTGCATGAGATGATACATACTATGAAAAAGAAGAAAAGAAGCTCAGGGATTATGGCCAGTAAAATTGATATGGAGAAGACCTATGACAAATTGGAATGGGAGTTTATTGAGAAAGTTCTAAAGAAATTTGGCTTTCATGAAAAATGGATTGCATGGGTTATGGAGTCTATAAAAATGGTCTCCTATAAGATTTTAATTAATGGAAGTCTAGCAAATGAATTTAAACCTAGTAGAGGTATTAGGCAAGGAGACCCTCTATCTCTTTACATCTTTGTTCTATGTGTTGAAGCACTCTCAAAGAAACTGGAAAAAGAAGCAAAGAATAATGAAAAGCATATTGGTTGTAAAATTTCGAGAGGGGGTCCAAAGATTCTTATCATGCAATTTGCAGATGAATGCTTCATTTTTGCAAATACTACCATTCCTACGTGCATGAAAATTAAGGAAATCATTACAAATTATGCAAAGGCCTCAGGCCAATGTCCAAATTTTAACAAATCTGCAGTTTGTTTCTTAAAGAATACTCCTCATAGATTCTAGAAGATGCTCTCTAAAATGTTCAAAATCCCTTTGGAGGATAAATCTAATTCTTATTTAGGGGCCCCCATTCTCACAGGAAGAGTTACAAAGAACACATTTACTCATATCAAAGAGAAAATGATGAATAAATTGGCTAATTGGAAAAAAACATTCTCTATCAACTACAGGTAGATTAACCCTTATCAATTCAACAACAAACATGATGCCTCAATATATAATGAGTTCCTTTAAAATCCCTAAAAATTCTATAGATGAGTTGGATAAAATTCAAAGAGATTTTCTTTGGGACAATATTAATGGTAAGAAAGCTCTCTACTTGATAAATTGGGAAAAATCCTGTACTCCCAAAAGGTAGGTAGGTATGAGAATAAGAAGACTTCATTGGGTCAATGAGGCCAATTTGGTTAAGTTAGGGTGGAGGATATGGAATGAGGAAAATAATTCATGGGTAAAAGTTACTAAGAATAAATATTTGAGAAGGGAAAACTTTTTGGACACCAAAATTAAAAAGAGAATCTCTTGGGCCTGGAAAGGCATCCTCCTTGCTAGAGATCTCATTAAAATGGGATCCCGTTGGCAAGTGGGTGATGGAAGTACTATAAATTTCTAACTAGATAATTGGGTATATGACAGACCTCTAACTGAAACTTTGAACCATGAAAATATCACAAATATTAATATTAAAGTAGCAGAAATGATAGATTTTGAGAAGGATTGTTGGAGGAAGGACAAAATTAAAGTTGAGGTCTTTGAAAATGTTTGGAAAGACATTAAGACTATTCATATTGCCCCTAAGTACATGGAGGACAGAAAGGTTTAGGGGTGTAATCCCAAGGGGACCTTCTCAATAAAAACAACTTGTTTGCTTAAATGTTCCTCTATTTGAAACCCAATTGGCAACTTTAATTGGCTGAATAACATTTAGAACTTGAAATGCCTTCCAAAGATTAAATTATTTCAATTTTTTCAGTTTAATAATAGGCTGCCTATTAAAAGCAATTTGAGAAAAAAAGGACTCAATATTGATGGCTCTTGCAGTTTTTATGGGTTTGAGAAAGATATTGAACATATTTATGATCACACAAAGCAAGTTAGGCTTACGTTAAACACACCTTTGGAGGGCCCAAATGAAAATGAAAATCTATGCTTGGTGGACAAGAATGTGCATTAAAAAAAGAAAACAAGATTCTATTCATAAAGGAAAAACTAGCTTTTGTTCTCTAGGTTGTTTGGAAAAATAGGAACTCCAAAACCTTTAATGAGGTTACTACTCCCATTCCAATAATTTTAGATAAAGCTCTCAATATGTTTATGGAAATTTTTTATGAGAGTAAGTTTAGTATCTCTATCACATTTCGCAAGATTTGGAAACAAATTAGTTGGAATGCTCTAAAATATGTCTATATTAAAATAAATTTTGATGCCTCTCGCAGTAGTAACGGAAAATGTTCAGTGGCATGTATTATAGTCTGGAACCATCTTGGTAAGCTACTTGCGGTCAAAGCTTATAAACTTGGTACATGCTCTATCAACCAGGTTGAAGCATGGGCCACATGGGAAGCCCACATCCAAGCCACAAACTATAGGGAGTTTCCTATCATCATTGAGGGTGATTCGTCTCTTGTCATCTCCTACCTCAAAAGGAAGGTGGATATTCCTTGGAAGCTAAAAGGTATTATCTCAAGTTGCTTGTGGAAGAGAGATCTGATCAAAGGAGGTTGTCAGTATCAACATGTTTTTAGAGAAGCAAATCAGGCAACTGACTGACTTGCTCATGAGGTTCTTTCTTCTTCTTCTTCTTTAGATTTTAGCACCTCATCTCTTCCCCTTTCTCTTCTTATTTGTTCTGCTAACTTTTGGGGACATACTACCCCTCGTTGTGTGTAGTGCATTTCTATTCTTTTTTTAAAAAAAAGAAGCTACAAAGGTCCCATTTTGCTTCTTTTGGAGGGTTAAAGCTTAGTTGAGCTGTTTTAGAAAAACACTAAGTACCTGTTTGGGAAGGCTTTTGAAACATATTGGTGTTTTGAGTTGGGCCCTACACAAAAATGTTAGAAGTTGTATTTGATGAAAATCCAGAAAGTCGATCATTATGTTTCGAATGCCAAAAACGTGGCTGAAATAGAGGAGCTTCTTTGGAACACGCTGCCAAAAGAAGCTTTAATGAGAAAGCCTTTTTTTTGCTTTAAAATAGTTATTTTGGACTTTTCGGGGTTTTCATCAATCATGGCTTACCGTCCATTTGTTTTGCAATATCGGAATTGGAATCCTCCAGAATCAGAATCAAAATAGTTCATTCCCATGGCATATTTGGTTAAGATAGGAATAGGAATAGAATTTGGAATCAACATGAATAGGATTTTATTCCCAAGGAAGGGGCAAGGAATGGCCATTCCCTCAAATAGGGGAATGTCATTCAACAACAATGGGAATGGGATTCCAATTCCACCCAACCAAACAATTGGAATCGGAATAGTTCAATTCTAATTCAAGACCCCTATTCCCGTGAATCAAACGGGACCTTAATTATTTAGATGGGCTCACCTTGTAAAGCCAAGGCTTGTTGTCTGTTGCATTGCATGAAACGATAGGGAACTGCTACCAATACAACGGTCCCAACATTATCTCAACACTATTATATTTCCTACAACTAATGTCGAGTTGGGATCTCCTGCCAACAAAACAAATTCCAACTTGATTTGACAGTACACATCTCATTATGAAATTGGGGCTTATCATAAAAGTAAAACTTGTTATGCATGAGATGTGTGGTGGCGGATCAAGTTGGTAGGGTGTTGAAACTTGTTTTGTTGGTAAGAGATCCCAACTCGGTAATGCCATATTACAAAGGGTTTCTAGCATATAAGGGCAACTTTCGGGATTTAATATCAATAAAAGTAATATATTTAAAAAAATTTCAAAAATATGTCAGCTTTTTAAAAATAATATCAATAAAGGGCAAAAACACTGTTCTTCTTCTTCTTCTTCTTGCCATTTGTTCACTAGAGCCGCCGTCCGCCACCGTCATTCGCTACCGCCTGCTGCTGCATCCACCCACCTTCACCTCCACCTCCGGCAATGTTGCCGGAGGTGGCCGGAGGC